ACTTCCACCAAAAAGAGAATAAATCTAAAAGCAGGATGACTTACAGCCAGAAAACATGGAACTCTAATAGGAGCATGGATAAGGACTGGCACAATAAAACCAGCAACCAGGCCAGCCATAAGAAACCAAAAGGATATATCAAGGGGGAAAAATTTTTTAAAGGAACTGATCATTTTTCTGATGTGTTCCATTATTTGGAAAAATATTATTGATGGGTATTTGACAAATCTGTTTGATCATTTGTGGGCAGGGTAGAGAGGGGAAATGTCAGTTATTTAGAAAAATAAACTATTAATAACATGGCAATTAATTCCAAGAATAATAGAATATTGTACAAGAAAATGAATTTGAGCAAAATAATTCAAGTCTCTGTAGTGAAATTTATTTCTATAGTCATTATAATCTAAATGGACGACTGACTAATGATTTAACCAAATTTTTTACAGGGGAGGTTGAGGAGAGGGTATTGGGTGGGTGGTATAAGAGATGTAGATCATTACCTGTTTTATCACAGGAGTTCGATAGAAAATGTCTAATACTGCCAAAATCAAGAAATAGCCTTACGAGTATGTCACTGAACAATATGAAGGTAAAATCAGAAGAGGGCATAGTGTGTGCCTTTGAAAATCAGGCTTGGAGATGGTAAGGGGTAACGGGCAGTACCCTTTTTTGTGTTGAGCAATTGAGTGCTATTTAACACAAACTACTCATATTGGGGGTTTTTTGTTGGTTTTTTAAAAATATACTTTATTGAGTTTTTACAGAGAGGAAGGGAGAGGGATAGAGACTTAGAAACATCGATGACAGAGAAACATCCATCAGCTGCCTCTTGCACACCTTCTACTGGGGATGTCCCCGCAACCAAGGTACATGCCCTTGACCGAAATCAAACCTGGGACCTTTCAGTCCGCAGGCCAATGCTCTATCTATCCACTGAGCCAAACCGGTTTTGGCTTAGTCATATTATTTTGATAAGAAAATTCAACTGATCATAAAAATAAAGCTTCTATGTCCCCGATTGAGGAAAGCACGTCCCAGGGTGTAGATTACAAATGAACAGCAAGCAGTGAGTCCTCCCTGCTCCGTCTCCTGACCCTGGGACTCCCCGTTGTCCGGACAGCTGCATTCCTGGCTGGAGGCGGGCTGTACCTTTTGGTGAAGTGCAAAGCAATCTGGACTTTTCAACGGCACAGCAGGCACTGCGGGTTAGCAGGGCCCTTTAAGAGGAATGTGCTTTTGGCCTTTGACTGTCCTTGGTCTTTGGTTCCCGAGCCTCTGCCTACAGCAAGGCATCGGCCCTGACCTAGTTGGGCGAGGCAGAGGCTCACCCTGCCAGTGGGGGCATGGCATTGCCGGGAAGCGATTCCCCTCCTGACTGTTGGAGTTGGTGCCATGGCGGCTCTTCCTAATGCGGGGAGAGGCGCTGAGCTCCAGCCCAGCTGGGTGGATATTATTTGTTGGGTTTGATGATCTGCACCAATAAGCTCCTTTTCTGGCCCAGATCCCTGGAGGCAGGCGGGGACTTTCCATCTTCCCGACAAAATGCTTTTTGCAGTTGGAAATGATAATAAAGTTTTATTCCGATTTCATCAAAATAGCGCTTGATGGGGGAAACATTACTAAATGAAATCAAGAGCTTTTTAGTCCTCGGTGATAACCATGTATCTTCAGGAAGGTCATTCGTCTGCTAGTTTCCTATTGCCTTCCTGTGTAAACCATTAATGCCTCCTCATTATATATAAGAATAGTACAGTTTTATTCATTTCCTGGTAGAATTCCAGACCTTTCATAATGTGGTCTAATCTGGCATTCTCTGATTCTCTGTTCCCTTATCTGCTTTCCCACTTTCTTGCCCATGCTAATATATTTCTTAAAACACAGATTTTCTCTAATACTCACTTGTTGTTGTGTTTCATATGCTTTGTATTTGATCGTGTGTGTGTGTGTGTGTGTGTGTGTGTGTGTCTTTGCTGTTCTTGAGAGATGAAGAAGAAATCAGAAATGATAATGAGGCTGCCATCTTTAATTCAGCTCTCACTATGTGCCAGACAATTGCTAAGTGCTCAGCCTCTGATTGAATCTTCATGGTCATTTTAGGAACATGCTCCAGTTAGCACTCCCACTGCAGACCGAGGAAACCCAGGGTCATGTCCATGGTCACAGAGCCGAAAGGTGCCAGGGCTGTGTCTGAACCCCTGACTTGCGTAGACTCTTGGGTCTCTCGTCTCAATCCCGGTGTTTGCATGGCTCCCAGGGAAGCCTCTGGGTTCTTGTTACATGAGATTAAGAAAGCAGATGAGCCGAAACTGGTTTGGCTCAGTGAATAGAGCATCGGCCTGCAGAATGAAGGGTCCCGGGTTCAATTCCCGTCAAGGTCATGTACCTTGGTTGTAGGCATATTCCCAGTTGGGGGTGTGCAGGGGGCAGCTGATCGATGTTTCTCTCTCATCGATGTTTCTAACTGTCTATCCCTCTCTTCCTCTCTGTGAAAAATCAATTATATATATATATATATATATATATATATATATATATATATATGAAAGCAGATGATTTATACTTAAAAACTCATTATCAGCATCAGGTTTCCTATGTTGTCATTGTATATTGCTTATTAAAATCTCTCATCTTTTCTTTTTAAGAGAGTTTGGAATCTTTTACATTTTCTGTTCTGTCATTCTTTTCTTCAGTTCAAAATTCTGGAGTCATCTTTGATGTCTCTTGATCTCTCTCCTTTAATTTCCATAAACTCACATGTCCTCTTTGTATTTCTGTCTTTAGTGTATATTTTAATATGTCTCTGCTCCTCCTGTCTGTAATATTTCCACTGTGTGTGATCTCCCTGCTGGTGGTCTCCGCCATCTCAAATTGATCTCACACATCGATCCAGTTTATTTTTTAAGCTCAGTTTCTCTCATTGCATATCTGTTTAAACTAGGGGTGTCGAACTCAATCAGAGAAGGGGCCAAAATCTAAAATCCAGCCTAAATCGCGGGCCGAATGGTTTACTGAACAGTCATAAACTGTCATTGTGATGGAAACGCAGCGGAGTGCAGTGATGACAGCGCGGTGCGGGCCACATTGCAAGGCCTGGCGGGACGGATTTGGCCCGAGGGCCTTGTGTTTGACACATGCGGTTTAAACCATTAATATCTCCTCATTCTATATGATAAAAATACAGTTCTATTTGTCTAGGATACAAGGCCTTTCAGAATGTGGTCTAATGTATCATCCACAGACTAATGTGCCCTTATCTGCATTCCCACTGTCTTGCCAATGCTGATATTTTCCTAATCTGGCCTTTTAAAGCACAGGTTTTCTCTAATACTCCTTTGTTTTTACTTATTACATGCTTTGTATTCTACTAGTCTTTGTGTATGTGTGTGTCTCATTTTTACCCAACTGAATAGTTAAATTCTGTGTAGAAGAGATGGAAACTGAATTCAACATAATGCAGTGTCTTATGTATAGCACTGTGTTAAAAAAGAAAAAGGAAAGAAAAAAAAGAATGAATGGGTTTTTAAAGTTTCAAAGTCAATATATAATTTAAATTCTGTATTTCTTTGCTTTTGTTTATTTCACAATGTTGCACAAAGCATTAGATTTTTCTGTTATTTTTTTCATCTATTTAATTATGAGATGAAATATATTGGTATAACTTGAGCAGTTGAAAATATTTTTAAAAGAAACAAGTTTTATTCATATTCTAACCTGAAAGATCCAGAAAATGTACTCCAAATGAAAATGATATTCTCATTATTACATAGGTTTTTAAAGTTAAAACAATACTTGAGTACTTGTAAGAAGCTGTTTTATTATATTGCTAGTAATATGTGGTTTTGATAGGGGTAAACTGAATACTTATAGTGAAATAAATGTTACAGAAAGAACTATTTAGTTTTTCCTACCTGATGTATTAAATATAGTTGTAAATTGTTCTGAATACTAATTAATGATGTGAGGAAATTTGAAATGTACTTAAATATGAAGTTTAAAGTAATCTGCCTGGGTAGGGTTTTGTTTTTTTAAAAAGGGTTGCATTTTTTGAAATTGTTTCTTGCTTTCTGCTGAATTTAAAAATGTTTCTCCTTTTTTTTTCCTTCTTGTTTTAATAGCATGAATATTTGTAGCTTTAAAAATTTTTATAGGTGTTCTATAATAAATAAATGTTTCTACTGTAATGTATAAATTATTTAAAACTATGTTCTATGTAAGCATTTTTGCTTTGAAATATTTGAGTTTCAGCAAGATAAAGATAACTTCATCCCAAGACTAAGAAATTAACCAACATAAATGTTCCCATATTTTAGATGTTTATATTTATTAACTGAGAGTTCTTTTGTTGCTTTTTTATAATGCAACTTTAATGTAACGTTATTTTAGCTGAGAAATCTTATACACTCTCACGCTGTATTTTTTTTTTCCTAAATCATTTTTTTCTAAATAATACTTAGCATCATCATGATACCTCCTTTTGTACCTTTTTTCTAAAAGATGTCTTAAATTATAGTACCCTTTCATTTGGTTTTCAAAATATTCAAATAAAACCCACAAGTGCATCTTTCGGGAGGGAGCCACATATTGATGTAATCCTGGCATGTATGTGATGTGCTCTCACCGACAGGAACGCTGCATTGTAAAAGCAGTGACATTTGAAGTTCAGATTATTTTTAAGGAAACTGAGCCTGCGCATGGAAGTACAGATTACCCATTTTGACTCCTCTCATTTAATCATTTCATCTTTCAAATTAGACTTCATCTGTGGTCCAAAAAAAAACCAAAAAAAACCCAAAAAAAAACCAAAACAGAAACAAAAACCACAAAACTCCTTACTAATGTGCATTTTTGGCTTTGCTAATTCCCTTTGTCATCAGATGGGCGCTAGCTAGCCTACATTTCCTAATAATTTCTTATCCCGTTGAAATCCGTAGCAAAATGCAGTTTTGCGATCCAGTGCCTGTGTCTCATCCGGATGCTTTCTCCCTGCCCCTCCCCCGAAGGAGATAGAGCGGCTGACGCTGGAGCTGAGCGAGAGCAAGCAGCACGTGGAGCGGGAGCAGCAGAAGGCGGCCGGGGCCGGAGAGCAGCTCCTGACACTGACGCAGCGGCTGGGGGAGACCGAGCGCCAGCTGCACCGCACCAGGTACCCCGAGACCCGCTCCGCACCCCCTGCCCCCCTGACCCCCTTCCCCGCCGGGGCCCCCATCTCAGCCCTCCGCGGGCTGCCACGGGCTTCCAAGCAGTTGTTGGGGGTAAAGTCTCATGCACAGAAGCAAAACACGCAGACATGTGAGTGATGAGTGTGGCAGGGAGTGACTGATCTGTCCCAAAAGATGCTCAAATATTTAGGCGATTCTCCATCAATACAAGCAACCTGACATGTTTCTCCTACCACCCCCTGGCGTGTTAATCCCGTGTCTAATAAGAATGCTGCTCTGAAGGATCCCGGGGAAATATATGTAAGAAAGTAATCAGAGGCTGTCAGTGGCACAAGAGGCAAAATCAAGAGGCAAAAATCAAATCCTGTGATGCAAATTGAGGCGGAACCATTACTAACGAGGAGTCCGGGTCGTAAGGAGGTGTAAGGTGTTGTTATGAAATAGATTGCACTGTTGACATGTAAAGCAATGTTATAACCAGGCTCGCACCATCCTGGTCTTGCTGTCTATTGTTTCTGTCATGGGGTATTGTGTTATGAGAGTATCATTGTCCTAAAACGTCAGTAACCACATAACTCAACCCCAAATGACAATAAGGTATTTTTGGTAGCAAACATCGTGTAATCTGCTACATTGAACTCACACACACACACAGAGAGACACAGAAATACAGCAGAGAAAAAGTCGAGCTGTGATTGTAGGCATTCCTCATTATCCTGTAAGCGCTTGCTTCTCACTTTCAGTTTTCGTATAATTTCCCATTTTCAGGTCAAGCCTCCGGGTGTCTTCAGTTTGGGGAGTTTTTCAGCTTTTGGGTAGAACTTTGTCTAAATACACATGTCGATTTGTAAGAGCTGGTTTGGTTCTTCGTTTAGAAAAAACACTGGTCTTCTAATCATAGTAATATGTTGAATTTCAACTCCGAAAGGGGACTGATCTCTTTTCCATTAAATATGAGCATGTAATTCTGAGCACGGTAGGATAACAGATGGAGAGAAACACCACTTGAACAGCCTGCTTTTGGGGAGAAAAAAAAAATATTCTGGAGGTTGGTGAACCTCCCAAAGTTTTAGGCTAGTGTCAAGATGTCTCTCGTTCTGTTAAAAATCAAACTTTGTTAAAAAAAAAAAAAAAAAATCCACATTTTGCTACAATAATATTCCAAATGGAATATTGCCAACTTCTCCTTTAAACAATGAAAGAAAAGGAGAGAGAGAAGGAAAGAAAGTACATCATTTCTACATGTGTGATATCTGGGGGGGGGGGGGGGGGGAATCCCAATAGATAAAGCACTTTTATGACAAAGACAATTGCTTAATGCTGCAGAACAGTAACTGCGCTTTGGATGCCCGCGTAAAACGTCCTTCTGCAGAGCTGAGAAGGCACGCGAACAGAGTCCCCATGGTGATGTCAGCATCCCCGCTTCGGAATCCAGTCCCATCACGATGGCGAACAGCCCTCCTTGTCAGATTTCTATTGAAAAGCAGCCATTTGTGTGCTCGGCACCGCCAAACCCCAGAAATAGGACCGCACTGCATGCCTCCCTGTAAATAAATATTAATCCCGGCTCTGCCCCTTGGCCAGGCCCCTGTCTCACTCTGAGAGTTTCTGAAGTCGTAGTTTGCGGAGAGTTTTCCTGCGAGATGCCCGTTTGTTCCATCTGACAAGATCTGTTTCTTGCAAGGAGAGCATATTATGAGATACAGCAACTCTGCAAGTGGCTAGTGGTAACGAATTCTTTTGTTCTTAAGGAAAAACAGTTTTGCTGGCTTCTGTAGAAAGCTATTTCTACTGAGTTTTATGAGTTTCCATTTAACCCCTCGAGTTTACAGGAAATACAGTGTGATTCCCTGTTTTCTAGGTGTGCTGCTGTTTTGTAAGCATTTTAGGCTTCTGTATTTTACAAAGCCCAGCAATGCAAAGGTGGCAAAAAAACGTGTAAGGGACTGTATATCTCTCTTTCGCACTGCAAATGTGACTTGGTTGTGAGGTTAAATATTGCTGATGCACTTTTTGAGGGATTTTTTTTTTTTAGAGTTTACTTCCCCTTATCATTCTTTATTGATTCAGTATTTCAAGTGTCTGGGAAACATGGGTGTCTCTCCCTTCCATATATTTCAGCTCAAAGAAATAAATCCCATACAGATAGCTCTTCATTTATTCTTAACACAAACATTTTTAGATGTCATATTCTGAGCAAAGTTTAACATTGAATGTGAAAACTCTGTTATAAAGTAATAATGAAATAAGAATCCAAATCTTCCAGGCAACTGAAATTTAAAAATTGGAGTAGAACTCTGTAGATCAGTCTGAAAGGACAATAATCTATCACTTTTTTTTTTGTATCTCCCTTTATTGATTAACTGGACTTTAAAAAAAAATAGAAATTCAATAGTTATTGAAAATCCCAACAGTAAGTATGACATTCACTTATTTAACAGATAATTAATTGAGCACTTACTATCTTTTACTACATTGCTTGGCCCTTGGCATAGAGGAAGGAGACTGGAGTTTGGTCTATTCTGAGGGTGATTCTACCAATCCATGAGCATGGTATGTTCTTCCATCTGTTTACATCTTCCTCTATCTCTTTTTTTCAGTGTCGTGTAGTTTTCCGTGTATAGGTCTTTTACCTCCTTAGTTAAGTTTATTCCTAGGTATCTTAATATTTTTGGTGCGACGATAAATGGGATTGCTTTTTTAGTCTCTGTTTCTGTAAGTTCACTATTGGTGAGGGTGATGAGCTACTCTCCTATGGTCGGCAGGGCTCCCCACGTGATCAGCTTGTGGTGGGATGCTGACCCAATCAGCAGTGTGGAGAGGGAACTTGTGGAGTTCATGTGGAAACAGGAAGACCGGTTAGGACAGAGGCAGGTACCACAGCCCAAGTCTGACCCGTCTTCTGTGTTTGTATGAGCCCTGAGCTAAGAATGGCTTTTTGCTCTTGGAGTGTTGTGGGGAGAAGGGAAAATCATAATTGGTGACACATAAAAGTCACACATAAAAGCCATTATAAAGTTTTAGTGGGCACAGCTTCCGTGATGTTGCTGCCTATGGCACTACCAGGGCAGAACTGAGTATGGTTCCAATGCCTAACGTATTTACAAAGGCCCAGGAGGCTGTTGAATGCAAGAAGTCAAGAGAGCTTGAACTACAATGGGTTCAGATGCCTTTGAAAGGCAATTAAAAGACACCGTGAAACCAGCCGGTGTGGCTCAGTGGTTGAGTGTCGACCTGTGAACCAGGAGGTCATGATTCAATTCCTGGTCGGGACACAGGCCTGGGTTGCAGGCTGGATCCCCAGAGTGGGGGCCTGCAGGAGCCAGCCGATCAATGACTCTCTCTCCTCATTGATGCTTCTCTCTCTCTCCCTCTTTCTTCCTCTCTGAATCAATAGAAAATATATTGTTAAAAATAAAAAGTCACTGTGGAAACACGTTGGTTAAGGAGGAGAGGATGGCTAGCAACCCATTTAGAACATAAGCACCAATCGTAGTCCTGGGCAGGGATGGCGTCAGTCAAACAGAGCGGAAAGGCCTCTTCAGGAAGCACTGGGGTAGCGAGGGAGAGAGGCTGCGGTTAACGGTACACAGAGCTCCCAGCCCGCATCCACTGGGTGCCCGTTACCAGACGGAGTCGCCCAGGGAAGTGACTTCTCTATTTGCCCAGTGCAGGTGCAGTGTGAGGAGGAAGGTGGTCCAGGATGCTGGGCCCCAGATGCTTTTGCTGGAAGTGTCAGCTCCGCGGAGGATGGAGCAGACACCCAGTGAGGACCAGGATGTTAGGGGCCGTGGGGAAGACTGACGGGCGTGCAGTGGATCAGCAAAGGCTACAGAAGGCATCGGGGCGGCTTTAGTGAGACAATGACAATCACACACTATTCTTAGGGGAGCCCCCCGCACCCCAAGATTGAGGGCACTGGGCTTTAGCATCTCCCTCCCGCACTCACTGTCTTTGCAACTTTTGACAAATTGCTTAATTCTTTGAACCTGCTTGCTTCCCTATAAACCGAGATTAAGCTCTAACCAGTTTGGCTCAGTGGATAGAGCATTAGCCTGTGGACTGAAGGGTCCCAGGTTTGATTCCGGTCAAGGGCATGGACCTTGGTTGCGGGCACATCCCCAGTGGGAGGTGTGCAGGAGGCAGCTGATCAATGTTTCTCTCTCATCGATGTTTCTAGCTCTCTCTCCCTTTCCCTTCCTCTCTGTAAAAAAATCAATTAAAAAAATATATATTTTTTAAAAATTAGGTTAGATTACATGATTTCTAGGTTTCCTTTGGCTCCGGTCGTCAATCACTCCAACAATGATTTAACACGGTGTATCGTGCAGTTCCGCTTTCCAGGTGTTAGGCATTTAAATTGCGTGGAGTGCCCTTTGTCTAAGATGCATCCTGAGGTTGAAGGACATTGACTGACCTCCATGCCCACCATTTGCATTCCTCACGGTCCAGGCTGACCTCCATGGGGTATGAAAACAGTCCCTCACGATCTTCCCGTCTGCTCCGCCAACCACTGCCGAGTGAGTACTCCTTGTCTCGTCACCTGCTCTCAGGCCCTCCCGTGGTGCCCAGCGGACTGTTCCGGATGTCCCGGCCACTCAGCATGGCAGGCTCCCGGTGTCATTTCATCGCCACCATTTCCATCTCCTCCCGGGCTGACTTCCGGCCAGACGTAAGCAGATGCAGCGCCCTTGAACTTTTGGACTCGCCTCCCCTTTTGCTGCTCTGCACGCCTAACATACCCCCCAGCCTCCTCTAGCCTGTGGCAACCCCACCTTCTTTTGCAGGGCCAGCCCCGCTCACACCCACCAAAGGCGCCATGCGATGGGGGCCTCACTGGCAGCGGTGCAAGAGGCGGCTGCTGCCCCTATCTCCCCTCAGGAGCAGGGGGAGGCGGAGAAGCCCTAGGGGCAGCTTGGGCCACCGCTCACACCCCCTGAGGGCACCGAGTGACCAGGGCCAGCACCGGGCGATGGCAGCGGGT